TCCCATCCAGGCGGGAGTAGAAATACTCCTAGTCGCTTCATGCTACAGAAACCGGGATAAGCTCCGGCCTGATGGGCCACTTGGCTCGTACGCAGACTCAGTACCTGCCTCAACGTGAAATGTGAAGTGATTGCCGCAGTCAAAATATGGAACATCAAATGAATATAGTGAGTAGCCAAAATAGTGAAAGATCACATCAAGGATGTTAGATTGGCTATTTGAAATCAATCAGTGCAATTGCATATACAGTAAGGGCACTCAGGAATTATAGAGAAAGGATCGCTTACTACCGTATTGTAGTGATGAAAAGTTTCGCTCGGCCCAAAACGATCGGGTTCGCTGTTCTTGGTTGTGTCCAACATCTGGCAAAGATGACGTTGTTCATCGCCAGGATGCGTTGCTGCGTTGACAGAAAGGCAGCGAGGAGTATTCATACACAGAGCCTGGCAATCTGCAACGTTTGCAAAAATTTTGAGACGACTGCTGACACGTTGAACACACTGCCTAAATAAGGCATGAAATTTAGGAAGATGATTTGGTCCTCATTCGTGTCTGTGATCACTCCAACATTGGGGCCTTGTCCACCTGTACCTAGACTGAAAACGTATGCACCTTGAAAACGTCAAAGAAATGTAATTCATTTGGATTCTAAATCTTGAGTTGATTCTCACCATGAAAATCATTTAATAAATTAAACCGACGCAGTCATTAACTTTATTGGTTGATTTATTCAATTATTTATGTTCGTCTAATGAAGACAGCAATACAAATCATTTGGTCGTTTTTAATCACTACTTTTAACTTTTAATCTTCACAAAGTCTACGAAAAAGTTACTAATTTCGAGTCTCTGTTTATTTGTAATGTTCTGTTTTTACCGAATAGATCAATTTCCTCACTCCAGTTGCACTGTACACCCGTCCAATTCAACATCTATGCTTTAACACTAAGTTAAATATATGACAAGCTTGGCACATGAGTTTATTACGATTCTGAATAGCAGAATTTTGCCGGTAGAACTGAGTCAATAGCCTTCTCAATAAATCATCAGTTCTATTTTGCCTGAAAGAAGGTCACTCACAAATCATGTGAGAGGCAACAACAGTAATGCAACGTTAAAACAATATTTTAATTTTTTTGTTAACAGAATCAGTGTCTACATATTAACCTCGAGACTTATTTGAACAATACATTATGCTTAAAATGAAAAATAAAATAAATTTGTTTATGGCTTATAGATATACAGAAAAAATGTGGTTTGATTGGCTAACTATCTTTTTGACGTGCTCACAAGAAATAGTTTTCTAGCGGCTTTGCTTACTCGGCTATGAAATTAAATTGACAAAGTATTCCTTATTGCATGCAACGAACGATGAATGCTATCTAATTTATTTTCTGGGCCTAAAGTGAACGCCGAGTACCGAAAAAACCTGCGTCTCCCGAGCTATTCTCCGCTGATAATCATCTCCAAACTTATTTACATTCTGGAAACGATAAAAAGAAGATCCAAAGTAGTGTCGATGCCGAAAATACGCCTTGTTCAAGTCACATAAAGTAAGAATTTACTTTTTTTTTTGTTGCTTATCCGAGGTTAAAGGAGCTCAATCACGTTATTTTGAGTTATTTTGGCCACATACAAAATTACCTTTAAATGGTAGTAAAAACCTGAAAATAACAGTTCAATTTAATAAAAGAACTATTCTACTCTTCTCTTTAGTAAGTCCCTAATTAAAACCAGTGACTTAACTTCATCTAAACAAGTTCAACAAGGCTGCCTTTGCTATCGCTAGTTTTGATCTTGTCCAGTTTTTCTTGTATCGTAGAACATCGGAACCTCGTTTGATCATCGTTGCCCTGTCGTGAAATGTAACTGTTGAAATAACTGGAGAGTGAGTCAGAAAAGCTTCGCTTCTTGCGAATGCAAATTTTCAGGAAAACGCTTCTAAACTCACGACTTCTCCAGCAATAAATTAATGTATTCACAAAGGACGATGTAAAAGTCAGGATCTTTACCAAAGCATTGACAAGGCTTTGCTTCGAACGGAACGATTCTAAGAAACATTGCGGACATGTTTTTTGTAAGAAATAATAAAAGCAAGATGGAAACCAACAGGCCACAAAGACGCCAATCACAACCATGATGGTGATATTTGCTCGGCGCTCCTTATAATCTTTGCGGGAATGCTCGCTGTTGTGCGATATGTTTCTCTTATTACTTGATATCTTCTTGATGTGCGACTGGGCCGTGATGTACATGTAGGTATAGCAGATCACGATCACCAGAAATGGAACTATGACGTTGGATATGATAACCATGATGCTCCACCAGTGGGTCGGGCTGTAGTTGCACTNGGGCCGTGATGTACATGTAGGTATAGCAGATCACGATCACCAGAAATGGAACTATGACGTTGGATATGATAACCATGATGCTCCACCAGTGGGTCGGGCTGTAGTTGCACTCCTGATAAGATTCGTTTGATTCCCATGGGACAAAAGGAAGGGAAGAAACCATCAGGACGTCCATCCAGGCGAACAATAGCGCCAGGGCAACTCGACGACGAGTGACAATGGTAACATGGTTCAGCGGATTTCTGATGGCTATCAGGCGCTCTACACTGATGACAGACAAACTCAGAATAGAAGCGTAACCCGTGAGAAAGTAGGAAGAGCGAAATATGTCGCACACGATCGTCTGCATTGGTTCCTCCCATGTGAACTTTTTAAAGATATAGCTCGGCATGGCGACCAGGCCTGCCAAAGAGTCAGCGATTGCCAGGCTGAAGATTGACATGTAGGTCACGTGACGCAAGGCTGGGTGGTTATAGATCGCGAAGCATACTATGCTGTTACCAACGACCGTGCCAAACGAAAGACACGCCAGAATAACTACCAGAGGAGTTCTTGGTATCACTGAGTATTCAGTGTCTGGTGAAAGAGTCGGCAGTGGACTGTCTGTGCTGTTCGACATCTGTATCCTGATAAAAACAAAGATAGATATGGCGATTGAGTGTTATCCAAAATAACAAGATACTGTTAGAATCAAACTCAACTCCTTGCGGGGCTTATGAGACCCAGCCAATACTGAAAACTTCGGTTGTCTAAAACTGCTAACTCTTTCTACCCCGAGTAAAAACAGTAAAAGCGACATGTTGATCAAGTATGGCACTCAATCTGCCTATATTCCAAGTATATATCAAGGCTTTATTACGCTGTTGGCATTGCTGATAACCTAAAATATTAATAGCATGCAATGGACAAAAGTGAATATCTCACTTCATGTTTTCTTTGCCGACATTTGCCAAAATTGTGGTTGAAAAGAATTCTAAAAGTGATATCAGTATTATGACTTGAGCATTAAAAAAATGCGAACTTAAGAAGATTAAAAAAAATTCAGTTTCCGCGCGCTGTTTTTATTATTTTTTTCATAAATTGGCCGGGCTGCAGTTACCCAAAAGATATTTACTACTTATTCAGTCTGATGCCGTATGATATTCATTCATCCACTCATAAAGGTGTTTACACCAGACTATAATTGTGTTTCAGTGGAAATAAAAATGCATTTAAGGCTACCTTAGAAGTGAAGTCAGTGGTAGGATCGAGTTACTTTCTCCCTCCTTGATCTGTTCGTAATATATACAGCAGAACAAAAGTAGTCAGGAAGAAAATAATGGGATGCGCTGCTCAGAAGTAAGGTGTCCAAAGGCAGACCGCGTAGGGCTATGACTGTCTAACCCTGGGACGAGTTAAGTATAACGATGTTCCGACCCTCAGAAGTACTAGACTAAAGCGTTTGGACAAAGAAAGTACGGAAATGCATATGGAGTGTTTCTTTGACCTTCTCAGCTCAGAATACGTGATAACTCGCTTGCATTCCTGAGAGGACACTATCGATTTCAACTGAATTGATTGAAATACCTTAGGTAATTTTGATTTGTGACGTTCTGCGACAGGAGATAAGTGTCAACAATTTGCAACTGATCGTGCTTAATTGTCTTAGCTCAGCTTCAGCCACAAGGCACAGAGTCAAGGAGGAGTCAAGTTTAGGTACGTAGAAAACCAGTTTGACTTCGATTAATTGTCTGCTGAAATAAAAACTAATGCTGGCTACACTATCTACGCCGTGTCACACTAAAACGTAGTGTCAACTGAAGGAGGCAATGTCAGGACTGTTAACGGCTTAAGTTTACAGAAATGTGTTTCCGCAGGAAGGGCGTCTATGTTCGTAAAATGACCTAAATAGCCGAAAGAGGAGTAGGCTGTTATTTCATTACCAAAGCTAAAAATAAATAAAGCAGCTAAAATTTCAAAAACGATGTGATATCAACGACACTCAGTCTTCTTTTTTAGAAATGCTTCTACTAAATGTTCGGGTAAAACTCTCAGACGATTACTTTGGTTGTTTTCAGTTTATTACATTTTTCCAATGTTACAATTTATAGGCCAATGGTTACTTCAAAAAGACTTGCTCTAAGGCTATAATATCGATATAATCTTTCCAAATATGTCCTAAACTGAAAAACGTCACTACATAATTAGCCGTTTTCTTCGGGGATACAATCTTTATATAAATTTTTCCTCCACGTGTGTTAAAATGTTATGTCAACCCGAGTAGCTGTCAACATAGGTTATTAAACTCCAGGGATTTAAGAGGCTGTCTCTGTAAGAACCGACCACTGATTTTACTTCGAAAATTCGATTTTTCTCATTAGCTGGGATTTCGAAGCCCTTACCTAGTCAATCACTAAAATGAGTTTTGTTTCATTAAAAATTCCAATTGAAGTTTTCTAGCCGAGGATTGATTGAAGTTCGGTCCGCTCGACACAAGTTTCATGCCCGCCAAATTTTATTATTGTTTTAAATTAAGGGACATTTATACTTTCTATTCATGTAGTTCAGTAGTTTCAAACAGGTGCCTCAGTTTTAAAACGTGCCTTCAAAGTAGAGCTATTTTCGCGTTTGGTTCAAAACTCGATTTAACGGGTAGA